ACAAAAATTGTACTTAAATTTAAAAGCTGCACAATTCAAGCTCGAGAGCTGTCTTGATAAAATTCCTTTAGGCTATAGTATGCCTTACCAGCAAGGAGGTCCACCACGGTCTTTCGAAATGGTTTATATGGCAAAGATCTACAGGTCACATTAAGATGGTTGTAAATCTTAATACTCTCGTACAAGTGTCTAGGAACTATGAAGCCTCTTCAGATTTTAACCTGGATAGCCTGAATGAGGCTAGCGACTCTCAGAACATAAATACCACCCACATTACTGAATCTGAAATCAATGAATAATGAATCCCTAAAAAAGTTTAAAAAACTCACATACTCCTGGTCATGACAAAATACCATCTTTCATACTGCATGACTGTGCCTCATGTCTTACCTCTCCACTGCTCTTACCTTTAACTTAGCAACTGGAAAAAAAACTAAAATATGTCCATTATTCAAGAGTGGGGATATTAACGTCTATAATATTAACATGTCTAATTCGAGGTCTAATTATAGACCAATCTCCATTTTGACCATCTTCTCAAAGGCATTTGAGGTCTGTGGTCTGTGTATATGACAATCTGTTCCACCAAGTTAAAAACTTAATTACCACTATTCAGCATGGATTTTATAGCAAACGCTGAACTATCACTAACCTAACTACTTTCCTGAGAAAGGCATATCAGGCTATAAATGAAAGAAAACAACTTGATGTGTTCTACACGGATTTTTTGAGGGTGTTCAATAATTCGATAATGCATCCACAAACTGGGCCAAATTGCATGAAATTAATGATGTGGATACTGGAGTAGATCATTTCTATCTAGGGTTGGCAAATGACCGGTCAAATATTTTTCGTTCAATTGACCTAGTATTTGACCGGTCATTGGTCAAATTGTTCCGGTCAAATACTCCAGTAGTGGGGAGCGTGATGCCATGATGGTAGCATTATTGCCATCATTTATTCCTGGTCTAGCCGGCAGGTATAACATAACAAGGGCAAATACTTAAAGAAAGACATAAACAAGATTTTTGATTGTTTATTTTGAAATATTTACCTGTAACTCCTGAAAGTTACATTTTCAAGGCCGGTTTATTCACCTTCTGATAAACTGTCAGGTATGCAATCTAGATAAAACCGCAATCTGTAATCCCATGATTGGCATTGGTCGGCAAGTTATCCGCTGACCAATTGAATTATAGAATATAATTAGCAGCAGGTTTATCTGAAGATGAATAAACCAAGCCTTTGTGATTTTGTTTTTCTTTTCATAAAAAAAGTGTTGATTTTGTTCTTTTTACCAAAGGAAAGAAGTTTTATTTCATTTTCTAGAGAAAGATTTTACTTTATTTTTTATACAATAAACTATTGCTTTTGCAGGTAATTTTTTTTAAATTAGTCAAATTGATTTGGTCAAATATTCTAGTATCGGTTAAATTGACCGTCAATTGACCGAGGTGCCATCCCTATTTTTATCAAAGATTGTTCTCTTGTATAGACAGAGCTGTTCCAAAAAAAAATAAACAATTTAAAAAAGTCACCAACTGAATGCAAATACCCAGTTTATTTCTCAATAGAATTTGTAAGAAACATTAGGAAAAAAAAAATTGCCTACATAGACAGGTCGAGAGGGGTAGGGCTGGATTTCAACATAAACTTGAATACCAGCAGCTGAGAAAAATTGTTAAAGCTCAAACTAAACAGGATTTTCAAAAATATCATGAAATGATTGAAGACAACTCCAATATTAACCTCAACAGTTTCTGGAGGTATGTGAGATCGAGGAGAGACTCTAGGGGTGTTCCATCTGAAATGAAATACAAAAATGTTACAATTTGAAGTGCCGAATGATATAGCGAATGCCTTTGCACAATATTTTGAATCTATTTAGGAGTGCTCTTCTGCTACAAAAATTAGAGACCATCAGGAATCAGGGTACCTTTCAAGTCTCATTAATCACTGAGGAGGATGTTATGTTATAGCTGCCATAAAAAAACTAAAATAAAAAAAAGCAGCAGGAAAGGATAATATACCTGCATGCATATTTATGCAGATCAGCTGCTACCAACATGATTACAGATATATATGTATAGCAAAATGGACAAAGGGTTAAGCTATGTACTTGTATCACAGGACTTGAGAAAGCTTTTGATACAGTCGACCATGACATACTTATAAAAAAATGGAATAATTGGAATGGCCTTAGTATGGTTGAAAGACTATCTGAGTGGACGAACTCAAAAAGTACTATGTAACAATTTGCTAAGTACTACAATAGAAGATATAACATGTGGAGTTCCCCAAGGGTCCATATTGGGACCCACATTGTTTCTTGTTTATATGAACTCCATTTCCAGTTTACTTTTAAGATGGATACTATCTATACCTTTATGCAGATAACAGAATTGCTGTATGCAGCAAAAGATCCCAAAACACTACAGCACATTATAGAAAAAGATTTGAACGAGATAGACGAATGGCTTAGTTATCACAAACTTCCACTGAACATGAATAAATGCAGTTACGTCATAATTCCAAATGTAGATGTAAACAGAGCAGCATTAAACTTTGAGAAATCCAAATTTAGCAAACAAAATCTTATTAAGTATCTTGGATTGTACATAGATAATCGTCTTACACGGGAACAACATAATATATTAACTACATGTCACAAAATTGCTCCAGCTGTTGGCAAGCTTGAAAGAATTACTAAATATATAAATATACAACAGCGGAAAATGGTGTACTATTCCCTGATAAACTCACATCTGTCATACTTAACCATTACATGGGACAACACAAATCAAAAGCACCTTTATGCTCTTCCTCTTAGGGTGTTACAGAATAGCTGTTAAATATGTGTACCAGTTGCCACGTCTTCACCCAACGGAAACTCTTTATGGTCCAAGAGGAATACTCAACACTAAATCTATGTACATTCTCCAAGTATGTACATTTATTCACAAATATGAGCTATCTCAAACGCATACAAATATTACTCTAACTCAGACGGAAGATGTTCATGATTACCATACCAGACAGCGAGGTATTTTCCAAACAGAAAAAATTCGAACTACAGGTGCACAAAGAACCATTTATTCAGAAGGACTGATTTTCTATAACAAACTACCTAGAAGTACACAAGATTCAGAAGAAATCCTCACGATCTCAGATGAACTTTTTAATGCACAAGAAATCACAGCAGTGAATTTTACTTCAGTGAAAGTGGACACAGCAATAAAACACCTCAAAGTAGACTCCAGCCCTGGCCAGATGGAATTCCTCCAATTTTTTGTTGTTATTGAAAAGCTGCATACTATCACTAAAGCAACCACTTGTGCATGTTATGGGTGGTTTACCAGGTCAATGGAAAAGTGCAATTATAATCCCAATATACAAAAAGGGCGACAAACAACTTCCCGTCAATTATAGTTCGCCTTACGAGTCTAGCACTACGACGTCTGAAGGGCAAGGGGAAATAATGCCATTCATTTCGAGCTTTATGCTGCCTGTCATAGGCGTGTGCGCAACGTTTTTAAATATTACTTTTTCCCTATAAATGTAGGTGTGAAATATAAATAAATATTAAGGTATTTTCTATTGGAAGTCAAATAGGCAATATTGCAATTTTTTTATCCGCATTCTTTCCATAGTGCTAGACTCGTGCGGCGAACTTTACAGGCCTATAAGTCTTACTTCCATGATGTGTAAGTGTTTGGAGAAAACTATTACTCTCGAGCTCACACCATTTTTAAATGACTTCATCCATCCATCGCAGCCTGGTAGGCCTAGAGTTACAAATCTTCTATCAAAATTACAAGAGTGAGCATGAGCATTGACTGATGTTTTATACATAGATTTTTGAGAAGGCATTTGAAAAGGTGTCTTTTCGAAGGTTGCTATACAAATTCAATCATTTTGGTGTGAGAGGTAGACTTCTAAAGTTCATTAAAGACTTTTTGGAAGAACGAAATTTAAAAGTAAGAATTGGAGAAGCCACTGCCCAAGAACACCCGATTTTAAGTGTAGTCCCTCCCTCAAGCATCAGTCCTCAGTCCATTACTTTTTATTGCATACATCAGTGACTTGCCCTCTGGTCTCCTAGTATCAAAGTCCTTCTTTGATGATGAATCCAGCTTTTATTGCAATCCTTTGTAACAAAGAAATGACCTAAAGCGTGATATAAATGCAGTAAGGGAATGGAGCATCAACTGGAAATTGCCTCTCAATGACAAAAAATGTGTCATTCTTCACCTTGGTACAAGGAACCCCCAATTCACTTATTTTATTGGACAAATGCCTATTGCAGAGGTGGAATAGCTGGGTATAATCAGGACCTTAAGTGGGAAACCCATATTAACAGCATGACCAAAATGGACTTTTTTTTATTCAGAAGGCATTGAAAAATCCGGGGAAAAATCAATGTAAAAAGACGATATGTATTAAAACTCCACAAGGCCTTTGTCAGACCCAAATTGGAATATGCACAATGTATACGGAACCCTCATTACGCAAAAGATATAATGTTTTAGAAAGAGTGCAGAGAAGAGTTACAAGGATTCCATCAGGGATTTCCAACCTACCTTATGGTGCCAGACTTGCTACACTAATCTATGTACAATCCACTACTTAAAAAGCGCAGCTTCTGTTTTTTCAAAATGATTATCTGCTCGATATACTATTATTTCTTAATTTTCATTCGGTAATTTCTCACAACTATCGTTTTTTATTGATTTCACGAAAAACCCTATTAATTAACCAATTATTAAGCTTTGAAATCAAGGTTTATACCATCATAATTTGCCCTCCAAAAGTTTCAACTCAACACCCGGCTGGATTTTTGGTGTCTTTCATTGGTAAATTTATTTATGACTTACTCTATTCATACTTTCGCGCACATTATTTCGCCAAGTATAAACATTTATTTAAGACATTTCCATGAGTCTTGCTCACCTAAATTGCAAAATCAGCGAATTTTTGTACATAATATATTTTTTTTTAAGGTAAGCAAGATGAGGCAGGTGCATGTGCAGATGCAGGAGCTCAAGTCCTCTACGATACACTTGATAAAATACCAGACGAAGTCCTTAAAGCGATTTCAAATGATACACTTGAAAGTGACTCGATGATAGCTCAGATGCTGCAAATGCAATTTGACAAAGAGTACGATGTGATGCTGAAAAGAACCGAACAAAAATACAATGGGTCTTCGAAATTATCTATTTCTTTTGATAATTATAGAAGAACGCCTCTAAATAATGGTAAGAATAATATGTTAAAATTATCAGATGTTGTAGAGTATTTTTGTTATAGATTTCGAAAGTGATTCAGAAGAAGAAGAAATTGAAGATATTCGTGATAGGAAAGATTGGGATCGCTTTGACAGCGTTTTGAGAGATATAAATTCAATCCCAGTTTGTGGTTACAAGGTAATGAACAATAGACCAAGTTGAAAAAATATATAATATACAGTATTTTTCGCAAATGAAGTCCATAAGTTACTTTGGACCTTTGTGAAAAATTCTACCAGTAGTGTCTTCTAGGTAAAAGAAAATGGTGAAGTTCTAACAAAACACGACTTGGTAAACAGCGCCAGAAAAAATGCTTGCAAGCTTCTTTCATTTCCACCAGAGTTCCACACAGGAGATGGGGAAAATTTCGACTTGAAGTTATCAAATAAGGTTTTCAACAGGTAACTAACTCAAACAAATACTGCATGCACTGGACAGTTCCTATTCCTCACAACTGAAAATCACTGCTTATACATACTTCCTTTTGACCTTCCTTTTAGCTACATCACACTAACCTTTGGGAATTATCCAAAATTTAAATAAATTTAATTAATATAAGATCACTTATATCAAAGTTATAAATTTTTTAAAAAATGCACACCAAACCAGCTTACAATCTTCTTGCTCTGATGCATGATCTTTGTAAGATAATTCAAAATTTTCCCGTTTCCAAAGAAAATCCACTAATCTAATATAATAATATAAAAACAGCCTTAGAACATACTCCAAAAAGGAAAAGGCTAGAAGACACAAAATCAACGACAAAAAAGAAGATCACGCCACTGCCGAATTCGGAATGGACGCTCAAGCTCGTATTTACCTTTACAAAATGATAAATGCTCAACTTTTGAAATGCGTCAATGGTGTAATCAGTATTGGTAAAGAAGCAGTTATTTTGCATGCAGACAGCGATCCAGATTACCCTTTGGCCAAAGAACCGTTGCCTAAAGAGTGCGCTATAAAAGTATTCAAAACTACTTTGTCCGAATTCAAAGATCGTGACAAATATATTAAGGACGATCATAGATTTAAAGACAGAGTTGGTAAGTGAAGGTTTAATTATTTTTCAATAATAATTAATTCAGTATAAATTTAGGTAAGCAAACTTCCAAAAAAATCGTCCACATTTGGGCAGAAAAAGAAATGGCCAATTTGATGAGACTCCGTAGAGCCGGAATAAATTGTCCACAAGTTGTCACCCTGAAAAAGCACATACTCGTAATGTCGTTTATTGGAGAAAATAATGTTCCAGCGCCCAAACTGAAAGATGCCCGGGGTGTCGACTACATTATGGCCTATGAAGAAATTGTTGCAGCTATGAAGACCATGTTTCAAAAAGCCAATCTAATACATGCTGATCTGTCAGAGTATAACATTCTATGGCACGATGATCAATGCTGTTTTATTGATGTGAGCCAATCTGTTGAACCCAGCCATGACAATGCCTTTCACTTTTTGTACAGAGACTGTTGTAACATTATAAATGTAAGTAAGATATTATTGTCGTGACATCAAGGTTTACGTTTCACTTCAGACTTCAGTTTAAAATACTGATTTTCTACAGAAAAAAATAACGTTTTTTTTTTATTAGAAAATGACTTTAGTATCTACACAGCAAAACATTAAATCCCGAGGGTAGCGAACACTGTATTTTCCTCTTCAACTTTTAGTAATGTCCACAAATAGTAAAATTATGTGAACTCATTTGAAAACTAATTATTATATCTCATTTTCAGTTCTTCACAAAAAAAGGTGTTCCATCAATAATGACACCCGACGAACTGTTTGAAGATATTGTCGGAGCGGATTTCAATAATAAATTCGCGCTTCTTCAAGTTCAGGAAGAATTCAAAATGAAACCGCATCTGGTGGACCAACCGGGCGTCGAGTCTTCGTTTGCTTTCGATACCGCTTGGGAGAAATTGAAAACAGGGGAATTGGTTAATCAGCGTGAGTCTTCAGATGAAGACGTTTTTGCTGGAGCTAAGCAGATTGCTGTTGAACAGGTTAATGTGGTGGAGCCTGCTAAAGCTTAAAAAAATTTGTTTATGATGTGTTTTTTGGAAGTTACATGTCATGGATTTTGATTGCTTTTTATCAATCTTTTTATAAACATTGTACTTCAAAATGAATAAAATTTTATATTTGTTATACCTTGTGATTTATTTGCTTTATTTATTTCAATTTTGGATGTTTTTTTTTAGAGAGAGTTCTAATGCAATGGTCAAGCTCTGCTGATAAAAATGAAGAAAACATGATATTTTTCTTTCATGTTTTTTTCCAGTGAGCTTCGAGTGTATGGGGCCCTTTACCATAGACCCTTTTCTTGAACATCTATTTTCATTGCAACTTTACACTGAGTTTAATTTTAGTTCTCAGAACGATAGTATGTCTACCTTTATACCTTGGTGAATCTGTTAATAATAGCGATAATAGTAACAACTTCAAAGATTTATCTACTTTTTTGTGCTACCCATTCTGTAAGTTGACTTTTTTGACCTACGTCCATGAACTGTAAGTGTCACTTACAGTCCGGGCCAAAAAAGTTACTTTTTTGACCGGGTCAAAAAAGTGTTGATATGGAAGGTGAAAATTGCTTGGTTCATATCTCTGTCAGAATAATGTCACAAAAACACTCGACTTCCTAAATAAAAAACCCAAAACAAATTAAGGATACAATTTTATTGAAACAAATAGAAAATACGTAGACGTCAAAAAGTTGAAATTAGCATACACAGATAGGTAATAATATAAATAGTTATATTTGCGAAGACGATCCCAAACTAACCCTGAACGCTAAGGTAAGAATCACACCATAAAAAGCCATTAATATTGTTTCATATCAATGGCTTTTCATGATGTGATTCTTTCCTTAGCGTTCAGGATCAGTTTGGGATCTTCTTCGCGAACAAAGCAAATAGGTGTACCATCAAATTCATGATATTTATTATCTTGAATGTACGGTAGCACAAAAAATATCATATGCACCTCGACTTGTAGCGTGTACTTTTTTGGCCTCAAATGCTTGCAAACCTCGGCCCTATGGGCCTCGGCTTGCAAACTGCATCCTCGTCCAAAAAAGTAACACTTACAAGTCTTGGTACATAAATAACTTTTGCAGAGAATAAAAAGATGTACGTACAACTAAAACGAACAACCCAAGACTATATGTGACAATACTTAACAACTCTAGCAGAAGTTAGAAATGAATTAGATTATAAACTAAATGTAATAAACAAGGCAGAATCAAAGAGTGGAGATTGTATGGCCCGGCATCAGGGAAACCTTTGTTAGCGTTAGCACGAAATTGAAATCAAGTTACACTGAGGTCAGGAAAAAAACTTGGATGACTGATGAAATCCTTGACTGGACGGGAGAAAGACGCCTGCAAACAGATCAGCCAGCATGTCGTCAGTTGAATCGTGAAATAAAAAACAACGTTAGGGTGGCTGAAGAAAAAAATGGATAAACGAACGGTGTAAGAAAATCGAAGACATTGAAGCAAAGTATAACAGTTTTACTATGTATAACAGAGCTAAAGAAGCTGCTGGTGTATACAAACCTCGACAAACCGGCATTGTGTTGCTCAGTCAAGATAAGACTATTATTGATGTCGACGACAAGGTAAAACAGTAGTGAAGCTAGGTAAGCTAAATCAAAAATGAGTAGCAGTATACAGGCAATAGTGAAGCCATTCAATATGATTTATCGATCGGGCATCATTCCTTCTGACTGGCTTGAATCAACATTTGTGAGGCTTCCGAATAAAAGCTTTGTAAAAAAATTTAACGATTATCGCCTTATTAGCTTCATGAGCCACTTTCTCAAGATTTTTCTAATTCCATGAAAGAATATACGCAAAGTGCGAGTCCTTCACGGGCGAATCCCAATTTGGTTTTTATAACGGTTTTCGCACGAGTAACCTCGTTTATTATAGCATCCAAGATAGAGACCTCAAGATAATCGTAAATCTCTACTGGAATCAGACTGCACAAATCTAGGTAAAACAACAAATTTCTGACGAAGTACGGATAAAAAGAGGTGCCCGGCAGGATTCCATCCTTCTACCATTACTTTTTATTATTTATTCGAACAAAATATTTAAAAAAGCATTTAGAAGACTACACTGATTGAATTTCTATCAACGGCGTGAACATTACCAATGTTCGGTATGCGGACGATGGACGATACTGTTTTAATCGCTGCTGCTCTGGAAAGTCTTCAAATATTACTTGATCATTTGGCTACTGAAAGTGGAGAATTTGGTTTAAAATTGAACTCCAAAAAAAAAAACTAAATGGATAGGTGATTAGTAAGAACCAGGTTGGAGGAGGTACCTATTCTTTTGGTACAGAACATATCAATCGGGTCCAATCATACAGATATTTCGGATGTCAGGTTAATGGAGACTGGGATAACATGCAGGAGGTTCGTGCCAGAATTGAAAACGCCAGAGCATCATTTGTGAAAATGAAGTCCGTCTTGTGTTGTCGAGGTCTCTCTTTCTCCGTTCGCTCTCCAGTACTACGTTATGCTTTGTTTTTCAGTATTCTCTATTGTGGGATTGAGGCGTAGAGTAGAATCTGACAGACGTCATAATGTGTAAAAAGCTAGCAGCTAATAGAGGCTTTTGAAATGTGGACATAGACTGATGTTGAAAATCTTGAACGGAAAAGAGTGTGCAATAAAGATGTGCTAGAGAGAATGTCAAAAGATCTGGAAGCTACTCCTCAAGCTCTTATAATCGATGGCAAAGCTGAGCTAAGTACTCAGCGAATTACTTGAAGTATACCATCGTCATCAAAAGTAACTGGGACAGCATCACATTAGCTCTTGTCCTATTATATGAATTTTATTGTCAAATATTTGTCAAACTATGATTTAAATGCATTGAAATGACTGACAGTAGAATTAGTCCAGGAGATTATTATATGCATTATTTGTGTCCCAGATACTTTTGGTGACGATAGTACCTATTAAGTATTAAGTATTAAATATTTCAAATATACTTACAGTATTAAGTACAATATTTTTCTAATGTACTATTGAGTATTTTTACCTAAAGTAAAAAAAAAACAGCATAAGTATCAGTCAGTACCTACCTATTATTTTCAGTATAAGGTATTTAGAGTCTGTTTCATATGCATTTAAGTACTATAATACTTCAAGTACTTATAATAAGTACCTAGGCTATTTATATGAACAGAGGGTGCTGCAATTTAGAGTGTTTTAATACGAAAAACATACTTCCAGACCAGAGGAAAATTGACTTAGATGTCATGGGATTGACTTTCGAGAAACGTCGATTGTCAAAAACCGTATCGCGATATCTTCAATGGTACCATTAATACCGGGCGATTTTAGATTTTCCCCTATTATGAAAAATGGCTAAAAGTTTTTTGTTTATCAATTTTTTTAATTTCTGTGAAAACATTTTTGGGATAGGTATATTTTTGAGCACCATCCAGTGGCACGTACTCAGTTTTTTTCTATTTTGCTCCCATTTTGAGATATTGACCGAAGTCCGATTTTTTTAAATAGGACACCCTATATATTAATAGCTCTGCTTTTACTGATTTCAATGATATATAAAGTTCGATAGGTTTATCTCTAACAGTTTTCGAGGAAAAAAATTATATCTGTTTCAGTCATAAGAAACAATAATGTGTTAGAAAGAGACCTTCCTCATTTTCCTTACACATATAAAATCCTTTTCTAATACATTGGGTCCTTACCACAAAAACAGATTTAATTTTTTTTCTCGAAAACTGTTAGAGGTAAACCTATCGAAATTTATAGCATTGAAATCAGCAAAAACAGAGCTATTCAATGAGCTATTAATATAAAGGGTTTTCCATTTAAAAATATCGGACTTTGGTCGATATCTCGAAATCGGAGCGATATAGAAAAAAACTGAGTCCGCCACTGAATTGTGCTCAAAAAAGTGTCTTCATAATGTTTTCACAAAAATAAAAAAAATTGATAAATAAAAAACTCATAGCTATTTTTCATAATAGGGAAAAATCGAAAATCGCCCTGTATCAATGGTACCAATAAAGATATCGTGATACGGTTTTTGACAATCGTCGTTTCTCAAAAATCAATCCCATGATGTCTAAGTCAATTTTTCTCTATATGGTTTGGAAGTATGTTTTTCCTGTTGAAACACTCCAAATTGCACCGTGTACTTTCTTAAGTACCTATAAATCTATCCATTGGGATAGATAGATTGATTGCAATTTATTTTATAGTGAACAGACCTATTGTTTACTTATAATAATTATTATAATAGTTATTTATGTATACCGGTGTGAAGTTGGTGGCAAAAGATAGTAGCCAAATTTTCCGAAGATACCCGAACGCCCAGTGGCGTCGGGTCATATTTTAATCGACAGAATTATATTTTACCTAACTTGACTTAGTTATATAAAATTCTACTACAGTTACATATCAGCAAAAAAAAACCCATATTCTTAGGGAAATTATATCAAGGGGTATACAAGAGGGATTTTTTTTATGTGTGGAAGCATATTTTTTGAATTATTTTGAAATATCTCGAAATCTGCTCGTTTCTACAGATTTATGTTTGAACCACAGTTAACTTAGGTGCTGATTCAATTTAAAAAAAAATATTTCATCCCCAGCAACCCGGGACGCCTTAACATTCCGGTATAGGATTCGGCACCTAGGGATATTTCATTGGTCCGTTTGAATTCGAACCGCCAATTAATGCGGAGTGCCGAAATCCGTACTTGAATGTTGAACGGTGCTGAGCCTCAGGTCGGAATGGTATATACATATACTATGAGGAGTGCCGAATCAAAGGTCAAAATGTTAAACAGTGCCCAGCTGCAGGTTGGAATGTTACTCCGTTAGCGCGGCACAAAATCAACAAACAAACTTTATTTACTTTTTGTTACACATTTATTTTATTTCAACGATACATTTCAAAAAATCTTGGACAATAATTTGCAGTGGCGGACCTAGGGGGGATTATAAAAACCTGAAACCTGGCAAATTAGATTTTTTTTTTTGGTATCTGTGGTGCTTATTTTAATTAAAATATCAATTGAAGCCAGGCAACAGCAGTTTATGGATTTTCCTTTCTTTATTATTTCCTTGATCCACTTTTTTTTTATAAGCACTAATCATTTTGAAATTTACAAAAACATATCTAAAAAATGTAATTTCCAAAGTCTATTCGCATCCAAGAAGATTCTACGTCATTGAATTGACATTGAACACAAACCTGCATTTAAATCTGTTATAATAATTATTTTTCGCTGACTTCACATTCCAATTCGTGTATGTTATATCACTATACTCTTCTATCCATTGCTTTATATCGTTTTCCTCCAAAATGTTAGCTCGGTAAATTTTCTCACCACATTGAAAGTGTTTGAATGATCCAGGCAAATTCATCTTGCATGTTTAAGCACAAGAACACATGAAGCAACGGAAATAAACCGCATCCGCCGCAAAATAGTAGTTAGAGGAACACGAAGGAGGTGGACAGCTGATTTAATATAAAAACCGCGCCAAACGTATGGCAACATTCGGACCTGATACTCAGCACTGTTTAACATTTTGACCTTAGATTCAGCACTCCACATGGCTGTTGCTAATGGACCATTCTGACCTGAGGCTCAGCACCGTTCAACATTCAAGTACGGATTTCGGCACTCCGCATTAATTGGCGGTCCGAATTCAAACAGACCAATGAAATATGCCTAGGTGCCGAATCCTATACCGGAATGTTTAGACGCACCCGGGACAAGGGGTGCAACTTGGGGTTGGAAGCATATTTCTTGAATTATTTTGAAATATCTCGAAATCTGCTCGTTTCTACAGATTTATATTTCAACCACAGTTGACTTAGGTGCTGATTCAATTAAAAAAAATATTTCATGCCCAGCAACCAGGGACAAGGGGTGCAACTGGAGGTTGGAAGCATATTTTTTGAATTATTTTGAAATATCTCGAAATCTGCTCATTTCTACAGATTTATATTTCAACCACAGTTGACTTAGGTGCTGATTCAATTAAAAAAAAATATCATCCCCAGCAACCCGGGACAAGGGGTGCAACTGGAGGTTCAAAAAATATGCTTCCAACCTCCAGTTGCACCCCTTGTCCCGGGTTGCTGGAGATGAAATATTTTTTTAAAATTGAATCAGCACCTAAGTCAACTGTGGTTGTAATATAAATCTGTAGAAACGAGCAGATTTCGAGATATTTCAAAGTAAATCAAAAAATATGCTTCTAACCCCAAGTTGCACCCCTTGTCCCGGGTTGCTGGGGATGAAATATTTTTTTAAAATTGAATCAGCACCTAA